CCGCAGTTTGGCTGAAACATTAAAAGCAATGAAACAGGTTTATATTCAAAATGTGAAGAAATTACATTTAATATTAACATTCAGTAATCAGTAAAATAAATAGTCGTTTGCAGTGTGGTGTTGGACTTGTCTCCCACGGCGTGTAACCTGCGCATCAACTAAACTTTGAAACAAAACAGTTTCGTCGTCATCAGAATCTGAATCTTCTCCTGTCTCAATCTCATCTAATTCAAAATCTTCAATAGCCACATCTGAGTCATCACTGTCAATCTCAGCAATAATTTCTTCGCGTGCTTCCATCTCCTGTTCTTCTTCTTCATCATCAACGAATACCATTGGCACATTAGCAGCAAGATGCATAACAATAGTTCGGTCTTTATCAGCCTTCTTCCCTGTAAGTGGCAAATTATGATGTGCCAGGTATTTGTTCAATTCAGCAACTGTCAGTTTCCCTAGTTTCTCATCTTCTAATAGTTCCTGCCACGCATAATCTTCAAACGACTTGTTCTTCTTCTCGGCTGCATCAGCTTGCCTCGTTCTGGTTCGGATTTCTTTTGCCCACTCTAGCTCCTGCAAGTGTTGAACATACTGGGTGATATATTCCTCCTTGACTATATATTTTTTTGCAAAGGTCTTCACTTCTTCCGGATTGCCAAGTATACGCTTTCCAGCTGCAAAATCCTTACGGAGTTGTGCTCGTGGCATATAATCATCAGGATCCCGTGGCAAACCAGCATCAGTGTTGATTGGTGTATTAAACACTGACCTATAGTGATATGAAGGTAATTTCTCGTAATGATTTTCAAAATTTTTTCCCCTCTCAAAAATCTGTCCAGGAAACTTATAGTTTTGTTGCTATTTTTGTTTTTAGGTGTTAGCTGAACTTCAGATAATTATAATCAAGTAAAATCTGTAAGTAATATTATATGTTCTATTACTTCTATGTAGTTAAGTTAATTAAATGTGTATTGTCTTGTATCAGTTCAGATATAGGCTGAACTGGGTTTGAAAAATAACCGAAACCAATACACTGATTAATTATCAAACTGAAATTTTAGATATCTTTTGAAATTAAGAAAATAGTTAATTAAACAAATTATTACGGCATAATTCCAGGCCCAGTGTTGACATGTGTTAGCTGCCATTGTAACTCATCATGGTTAATTAAATTAATGATATTATTCCTTGTTCTACCTCAAGAATGAGGGTCCTCTGCTTGCTCTGGTGCTGAGTTGTGTCGGTCACGTGTGCTGCCCGCATCAATCCATCCCTGTTCTAGCTTGTACACTTTGTTATGTTATT